ACTGCAACAAGTGCTGGTTGACTAACAGAGCTTTCGATAATTTCAGTACTTCTGAAGCTAAAGGAACGCCGTGATAATGATATTTCACTGAATGTTGTACACATTCGCTCTCTTTGACAGATGAATACACGAGAAAAGCCATCGCGAAATGACTTGATAAAGAGAAAATATACAAAAGGATTGATTGCTGAGTTTAAAGTTACTAATAAAGTAGCAGCTTCAAACAACAAGTCTTTCCTTGATAGTGAAAAATACCCAAGCAGTTCATTTAGACCAATAAGAGTGTAAGGTAGTCCACATAAAATATAAAACATACAAGTCACCAAGATGGCTGCTTTTAAGACTTTTTCGAGCGTTATTTCTGGCTCGCCGACCCTCAATTTGACTTAAAATTACTTGTTCAGGCCTTTTTACAGCGAGAATTGCACGACTATAGAAAATAATCATAGCAATGCAAGGAATAATGTACATCCCAATGGCATACACCATAAAGTAGACCTTGCGGTTGAACCATGAATAATCTCTGAAATCGCAAAAGACATAATTCCTGTCATATTGAGCGGTTATCATGTCAAAAAAGTAAACTCCAAACCCTGAGAGCCAAGAAAGAAGCAAAATCCATTTTAATCTTGTTTTAGTTCCGCCGCCAAGGGCTGAAAGAGGATAGACGATGGCCTTATACCGCTCAAACGCCATTGCTGTTAGTAATAGAGGTGAAACAGCTCCACCGAACCAGTAGGACCATTCTACTCTACAAAGTACTTCAACTAATGTTTTACTGTGATTATAAGCCTGTTGGAGAACTGGTGGACCAAGAACACCTCTGTTGTCGTTTGCGATGACAAAAAATATTCCAAAGAAACCAGTCATGGCGTCAAGTATGGCAATGTTAAGTATGATGTAATTCATGGACGTTTTCATGGATCTAAGTCTAACGATGATGTGACAAACCAAGGCATTTCCAATGATACAAATAACACCAACGGTCATTCCASAAATTTGGAGAGCAAGAAGTGTTGTCTGTGTCATTTTTGTAACCGATTTTTCTCGAAGTTGCTATTGARTACTTTTATAGGTTATCTTGATGGGAAAGCTCTACATGACTTTTTAATAATATAGCGACTCTCCATAGGAATAAAAATTGTATTTTTTGGCATYTGCATCTTGCATATATCTTTAAGACATATTCAGCTTTACGARAACGAGCTCCATGCAGCGATTTGTGGCAGTGTTATGTGTCAAAAGAGACAAAGACAAACGCTGGTTTTCTATACGCTTCTAGGGTTACAGGTCTTCTTGAGTGTCGTGTGAAATTCTTAGTAGATCTAACAGGTACTGGATCTTCAGACTTGTTTAATATGTTTCTTCACTGGTTCGCTATTTATGTGTTTTCTGTATCTTGACGTACGCTTTACACCTGTTTTTGAGTGTCGCATAATTCATCATAAATGCGTGGGAATTTGATTGACTGAGAGAAAAGACTGGCTGGTAATGAGCATTTGGGACATAATAAAAAAAAATAATAAAGAAAAGTTAACTTAACGTTGATTTTACATCGTAGTTCGAAAATTCTGCGCAGATATTGAGTTTTACCCTAAGATATATACTTCTACAATGTTAAGATATACGCGTTTCTTGCCTACGAAGTCATGTTCAGAGTTATTTTGGATGTAATTAACGAAGCTTGATTGATGGGATAGTCAATAGTTAATAATTGGATAGCTGTAAACCCATTATAAAACAGAACGTATAGTGTATTTAAAGACCTTAATTCACACTTTTGACCAAAGGCACATTATCTCTTAATAGAAATCTATAGAGTAAATACGACTTGTAAACATATTTTTGCTCTATAATATATAAAGCTTGCAAGATCCTATGTATAAAGGGTAAGATTGATGGCGAACTTAGTTTTGGAAATAATTATATCAAATTTATATGATAAATGTCATATACGTCTATATTAACTTAGAAGATATACATCATACAGGAAAACAGATGTTAATGAGACATTGATAAACCGAAACCAGAGTAGAATATGTATATAATAATAATAATAACAAAGGAAAATAGTCTTTGTTTTCTATTATGATTTAAGCGTTACTTCAACCTAAAAGTTTATTTATTTATTAGAAGTTTTCGGCTCACCGAGCCATTATCTAGACTGATGAAAAAACGTTAGAAAACAGTTTACAAAACAACATAGAACAATCATAACGAATAGACCGACTTACAATAATTTATTTGATCTAGTATTTTCTGTTTTTCTCTCTTAACACGCTTTTACGAACGAGTTTTAATCGATGGCGAAATCAAACCGCACTATCGGATATCTTCGATTTTGATCGCCGGTCGGAAAACTTTGCCACCACGGCAGCGTTCAGACATAGCGACTTTAATGCGGCTTTTGTGATTGCAGTATGTATTTCCCATATATGCTCTTTAGCTAGTGAATATGTTTTGAGTCGTTCTATTTGTGGTAATAGTCCTGGATGCCCTGAACAAGAAGAAACCTCTTTCAATCAAAACGTTTGGTTTAAGATGACGAAGGGGATATTTTTAGCCTCAGCCCGTCACAACGGTATGCGTTAGTGTGCACGTTTCTATGAATTTAAGTAGCGAAAGAACACGTTTATTTTTTGCAATATCGATATTCAATGTGTTCCAGTCCAACATCTGTTTCTCGAGCTAAATGTAGTAGGTAGAATAGAAAAAAAAATAATTAAGAACTGACTAAAGATATATTTAAAATTACGATAATAGATGAGGTGACGGTTTCGGCCGCCATTTTGTTCCGGTAGGCAAAGTGTCGCAAAATAACAAGGAATGACCGGGRAATCGATGTCAAATAATTCTCGCTGAATTCAAATTCMGAAAGAATTATCAATTGCAAACGTTAGATACTGCAAAAAGGAGTTAAMTGRCAAAATTTGAAAGGCGTACTTGATCTAGAGAGCGAGTAAACTCATTTTTAGTTCTCCATACATTTCTTTGTATTTTTCACGCGCGTCACGCACTGATGACCCCGGAAATGATAACGAAATGTATTGAAATTACAAAGAAATGTATGGAGAACTAAAAATGAGTTTACTCGCTCTCTAGATCAAGTACGCCTTTCAAATTTTGCCCGTTAACTCCTTTTTGAGGTATCTAACGTTTGCAATTGATAATTCTTTCTGAATTTGAATTCAGCGAGAATTATTTGACATCGATTTCCCGGTCATTCCTTGTTATTTTGCGACACTTTGCCTACCGGAACAAAATGGTGGCCGAAACCGTCACCTCATCTATTAATGCCTTTCCTGCAGACATTTAAATCGAGCAGTTGGAGCCCACGGGGTCTGCTCTTACAAAAATAACTCTTCTTGTACGAATTTCTTTTTCTGGGTAAGGGATTTTGAGCGACATTGCTGATAATCTCACGAGAAAATGTTGTGGCCTTCCTTCTTTAAAATAATTTTGCTCCTTTCAAACGTTTTTAAGGTCAAAAAAGGTCAGCATTATGTTCTCTGGGATCAAAAGAACCACAAAATTGCTCAAAAAATCGCCAGTGTACACAGACCTTTATTCATTGGCAATTGAGGAAAGTAACAATACAAAAAACATTTTTGAAAAGTGACACGTTGTACTGAAATTTGCCAGTCCATTTCAGTATTTCAGTCATTCATTTTATTTATTCACTGGYATCGTTAAAATCTGGGAATTGTTGCAAAGGATCTTTCTACATCTGTCAGCCGAATGATTGTACTTGTACCCATTAGTTACTGCCATATGCCATAAAATATCTATGGCTACATATGTCAAAATGCAGAGAATTAGGAACAAGTTATCAAAAAACAACAGTTTATTTAACTTCATGGTTCATACGAACGAAATGAAAAGGAAACAATGAATATTTGCGATATGCATTTTTTTTCAGTCAAATCATGACCAGAGTTTTGAGATCCAAGAAACTTTAGAACTTCGTCACCAACCAATACTAAGAATTACAAGAATCAAGCATTCGTGATCTTTTAAGGTTGAACAGCGGTTTTCATTATCTTTGTGATGGAAGTTCTATTAGCTCTCATGAGCCCGTTTGAAATCATAATACTAAGTGTTCTCTGTAGCTCGTACAGGAAGACGTTCTGGCTGTTCAAGGCAGCCAACAGCTACATTTGTACGCTCGAAAGATATARAACGCTGAGAAAACGAGACWGCGCTGAAAACTGACTGCAGAATTTCACCTTTAGAGCAAAAAACACGGCGAAAACCATCGCGGAATGATTTTATAAAAAGAAAATATATGAAAGGATTAATTACAGAGTTAAATGTTATAGCTAAAG